GTAGAGGGTCAGCAAAATAGAGGAAGACCCTAATGAGATGGATTGACAAAGTGGCTACAACAACAGGCTCAAACATAGCAATGATTGTGAAGATGGCGCAGGACCAGGCAGTGTTTCTTTTGTTGTGCATAGAGTTGCTGTGAGTCTTAAGGGTCTCAATGGCACCTGACAACAACAGCAACAAATATATCCTCTAAGTAAGCCATGGCAGTGTTTTGGATGATTAAAATATGGTTCTAATTCTTCTGCAACTTGCTTTTTTTGGCCACCATTGTATTTCTAAGTTTCATTCATGTGATACGAATACTTTTAGTTCAAGAGCTATTTAGAGGGTACACTCCCTCAGGCTTAGTGACTGAATGTGGGAAATAAGAGAGGAATTAGTATTGCTCTGACATTTTTAGAGAATGGTGAGGCTCTCAACTGAGATGAGAAGATATAGTAAAGAAGTGGATTTGTGGAGTAAGCAGATAATTCTGTTGGGGGCATGTGTCCTTTGAGATACCTGCAGGCATTCAGATACAGATGGTGAGCAGTTGGCTGAGGAGAAAGGAAGCTTGAGAAAGAGATCTAGAATATAGGTGAGAGCTGAAGCCTCGAGTGGGAGGATGAGATGACCTAGGGAGGAATGCAGAATGAGTTTTGGTGACACACTGATTAGCCTTGGGCAGAGGAGGTGGAGCAACTAGCTGATCAGAGATAAGATTCTGAAAGGATAATTTATTTGAGTCAGTGAGGTGGCTAGGATTCCACTGATCTAATTTGCTCTTTACAGAATTAGATATTAGTAGTTAAAACTAATTGATTTACCCAAGAGTGCCAAGATTCTCTTCATTTGTTGTTCCTTCTCTTTGTTAAGCCACGGCATCCTGTTCAGCATCAGTGAGAATAAGAATGTGAAGAAGACCACTTAGACAGGAAAGTCACAGGAGAACCTAATGAGCAGGTATTACAGGATCCAAGAAGGTGACATTATTTTGTAAAGGTGAAGGTAGATATTTATCATAAATTTCAATTATTTGACCCTTTATTTTCATGGAAAACTGAGAATTAATTGATTTCATAATCATTTTTGTGTGTGTGGTATCTGGAAGGGTTCCAAGAGTCTGAATAATGTTAAAATTCATATTTTTGCCTGTAGTCCTCAATCTTCTTGACTAGGAAAGTGTAAACTATTACATGATTTGTGCTGATTTGTAGAAATCGTTTAGTAACACCTCCCAGTGTCTTTGGAAGATCTTTGATGGACAGCTAGACTAGAGAAGCTAGACTTTCATAAGTCCCAAGGATCAAATCTCAGTTTAGCAAAAGAGGTCATGGAGTCATAGGGAAACACGCATCCCCCACTCCTTAAGTGTCCCTAGAGGAGAGATGCTCTACTCTAGTTCTTAAGAGAATAAGGATGGAAGGGACATTTCCAGACTCTTGCCACACCCTCTCACCTCCCCTTATCTTCCTAGGAAGGAGTTTGTGCGGGTGATTCCCTCTTTCTCTAGGGCCTCCCTGCTGCAGTGGCGGGGGTGGGGGTGTCTGTCCTGCTCTGTCTGGGCTTCCCTGCGGTGGACACAGTAGGCCAGGGCTGGGACTGATGTCTAGTGGAAGGTTTGAGCCCTTCTCTCTGCCCATACTTTTGGAGTTTGAAGGGTTTGAGGTGGCAATTCTGAGTGTGTCTGCTCTGCAGACCTAAAGTCTCCCTATCGCAGATTGTCCCAAGGACCAGACTTGCGGGAAAAGCACTGTAGTAGAAAGTCCATTTGGCCATGGGTCCATCCACATTCCCGACTGTAGCTATACCAGTAATTAAGCTTTGACTAATACTTGGAAGCAGTAGTCAAGAAATCAAATGACGCATTGCATTGAGCAAATCTGCTGCAAAAGACCTCTTTGAAGTGTGAAAAAGCAAAGTTGTCACTTTAAGAACCTGACCCAAGCTACGGTGTTTTCAATCGCCTCATATGCATGTGAAAGCTGGACAATAAATAAGGAAGACAGAAGAATAATTGATGCCTTTGAATTATGGTGTTGGCAAAGGATACTGAATATACCACGGGCTGCAAGAAGAATGAACAAATTTGTCTTGAAAGATGTACAGTCAGAATGCTCCTTAAGTAGTAAGGATGGCCAGACTTTGTCTCATATATTTTGGACTTGTTATCAGGAGTGTCCAGTCCCTGGAGAAGGACATCATGCTTGGTAAAGTGGAGGGTAACAAAAAAGAGAAAGACGCTCAACAAGATGGACTGACCCACTGGCTGCAACAATGGTCGTAACAATGATCGCTGAGGATGGCGCAGACGGGGCAGTGTTTTGTTCTGCTGGAAGGGTCGCTGTGGGTTGGAACCAACTCCAAGGCACCTAACAACAACAATTCTTGGATCTCCATTTCTTCTATTCCTCTTTTTATATTTTTCCCTCATTCTCTTTTATACTGAGGTATTATACATTTACTATGACAATTTTGAAAAAAGAAATAAACTAAAATTTTTCTTTCTATAATCCCACCACCAGAGATTAAATAAAACAATTTAAAACTTCAAGTATATCCTTTAATCATTTTTTTATTAGTTAATATACCTAGAACAGCTTTCTATACCATTATATTTTCTATTTTTAATGGTTTTTTAATGGTCGCTCACTATTGTATTATATGGCTGTCCCATAATATATTAATCAATGGTCTATTGTTGGATATTTAAATTGTTGCTAAATTTATTACTATTACAAACCTCTCTGAATTTTCTCAGAATAAATCCTTAGAAGTAAAATTTGTCTGGCAAAGGTAATGCAGATTTGAAGGCTTTTGCTATATATTGCCAGATTTTCCCCTCAGTATCAACTGCCCATTTTCCTTGGCATCACTGTGTATTATCATTTGCTTATTTTGGCCATTTTTAGAAGCAAAAAAGTGGAATCTTATTGTTCTATTTTAATTTGACTAGTGAAGATGAATTTCTTTTTTTAAACATGTTTTTGGGCAATCGTGACTACAAGATTTTTTTTAACCTAAAAATTTACATTTAATTTACATACAGTAGAAATCACTGTTTTTGGTGTGTAATTCTGAGTTTTGACCTACAATAAAGATACCTAACAGTCCATCTCCCAAAACATTCCCTCAGGCTACCCCTTTGTAGTCAGCTCTTTCTCCTACCCTATTCTCTGGCAACCAAGGTTCTGTTCTCCATTTTCTTATCTTTTAGAAATATACAGATTGAAATATTTATGGATGAAATGATAACGGTCTGGAATTCTTTTTTTTAAAATAGGTGAAACAAGATTGTCCATGAGTTGGTCATTTTTGAAGATGGGTAATAGAACTTTAAGATTGTGTATGGGTTTGACATTTTCCATAATTAAATTTTTTTTAAAGTAAGTTTTCTGTTTACTTTTTTTCAAAGTAGTTTGTTGTTGATTTTTTCACTTGACCCCTTACTTCCCAATCCTTTTCTGCCATATTTCTACTACTCTATCAGTTCTTGTTAGTTTTTTTCTGTGATTATTTTACACATATCCCTAAAAAAGTTCACTCCATTTATGTATTTATTTTTTTATTTTTATTTTTAAATCAAATTGTCAAAACCATTAGGCATCTTGTAATGACACCATGGTCCTCAGTTTCTGAAGCTTCCTGCAGCTCTGGTTTCTCCAGGCTGATGTGACCTCTGTCTCTCACGTACCTTTACTGGCTGGCTGATGAAGGTATTTTGGAGCACCGATAATGCCAACGAAATAACCCAGCTGGTGGCTTGATCTTTGCTCAATTCCAGGCTATAAAGTGCTGTAAAAAAGGCTGAGGCCAGACTAGTGACCCAGAAGGAGCCAGCAGAGATAAGCCAACCATCTGGGCAGGCCATTAGAGAGGTGCTTCTTCCCTTCTTCTGAGATCAGGAGGGGGAAACTGGTAGCCTCCCTGAAGAACAAAAGTTGAAGGAATAATCTTTTATCCAACAACTAAGAGAGAGGTCTAAGAAAGTCACAGGTGATAAAGAAAACCTAGTGCCTTACCTGGATGGCCCTTGCTCCATGGAAAGAATGTGTGTTTCCAAGATTTCCTGGAGTTTTTGCAGTTGGCTGACTGCATCGAGGAAGTCACAAGGCTGATGAACCTTGGTGGTACCCAGTATGCCTAACTGAGATTGTAGCCTCTGCAGAACTCTGAGCAGGTAATAGCAAAAATGATGGTGGTTTTCAGGAACCACTGAAAAAATATATTTTGAGTTGACACTTTCACAAGGGGAGGATTTCAATAAATTGTAATTACAGGTAGAGATTAGTAATTCAGTAATTAATGATGATATCAAATTATTCCACAACTAGTGGAGATTAGACCCAACACCTATAGTATTATTGTCTTCTCTAAGGACACTGGTAAATTTTTAACAATTTGAAAAATGTTAAGCTTTGATGTAGAGACTCTCAAATTTAGCTTTTTACCATCAGAACTTCAATACCCGTGACCTATTCTAGGTAAATGTCCAAGAGCCCAAACTTACCTGCTCAAAGAAGAAAAGAATGACAAGTTTCAATAGCTTCCAAGAAAGCAGATGGAATGCAGGGATCTGATACAGAGAACATTTTGTGGTTTTGTTTTTAATCCTGTGCTTTGTAAGACCACATAGACTGTCTCAGAAGCCATCAGAGAGATCAAAGCAATTAGCTCTATATCGAAAGCTTAAGGAAATTAAAACAAGCAGAAGAGTGTACCATGCCTGTTGGTTATGAATAAGTGAGAAAGTAAGAGTCATGGAAGGGAGTGGAAGTCAGAGAAGGTTAATTATTAAAACCTAGTGAACTTTACCATTTGCCCAAATGGATCCTGCCTGCTGATGACTGCCTTGGACCTCTAAGTGAGAATAAAATTTGAGGCTGGACAAAAGTGTCACCAGCTTGTTAATGTTGTAAGAACTCCATGACAATTGTTCACACTCTGAAAGTAGGTATGCACTTCTCCTGAGCAGGAATCCCACAGTTTCCTTTAATTCCTGAATGTAGAACCAAGATGAGAAAAGTCAGTCTGTCTTACAGTAAACCAGGACTGTTTCTTTTACTCAGAGAGACATAGCTTAGTGCAGAGAACTGAATTTTTCATTTTCTCTCTACTTTTTCAGAAAGCAGTCACCTCACGGTAGCTTCAAAACCAGTTCTCTGAGAGAATATAGAATGAAAGAAGAAGAGACTGTTTGCTCAAACATCAAAAACAAAAACAAGTCCAGAGTAGCACATACTGCACTCACATTCAGTCCTCGGAATACTTCATAATCAAGAGAAAAAAACAAAACAAAACAAAAAAACCCCAGAGGCATGACTGACCACAACTCAGGGGACAGGAATTAGGGAAAAGATAATAAGGGTAACAAAACAAAAACAAAAAACCAGTTTCTGTTGAGTCAGTCCCAACTCATGGTGACTCCACGTGTGTCACAATGCCATAGGGTTTTCAAAGCTATGACCTTCTGGAAGTATATCGCCAGACCTTTCTTCAGAGGCACCTCTCAGTAGTCATGTGCTTAACCATTTGCGCCACCAAGGAACAACAAGGGTAATAACAAACCTGATGACATCAAGTCAATTGTGACTCCAAGTAACCCTACAGGACAGAGTAGAACCGTCCCAAAAGGTTGCCAGGGCTGTAATCTTTATGGAAGCAGATTACCACATCTTTCTCCTGCAGAGCACCTGGTGGGTTTGAACCACCAATAAACCCATTGCTGTCAGTCAATTCTGACCCATAACGACCCTATAGGACACAGTAGAATTGCCCCATAGGGTTTCCCAGGCTGTAATCTTTACAGAAGCAGACTGTCACATTTTTCCCCTGCAAACCACTAACAGGACCCTGAAAACCTTCCAAGAGATCCTTTCCACTGCCATTTCCCCTACACGGGGAAAGGGAACACGTAACTCACCTGTAACACTTGATACCAAACTTACCTCAACTACTTCTGTGAGAGAGAGGCTCAAAGGAAGTATCTGAGGGGTAGGGGGCCTGGATACGGCGAAAGAGAGGCAGAGGCTCCTGTGGTTGAATCAGCGAGAAGAGTCGCCCAGTTACAAGATTGACTGGAAAAAGGATGACAGCCGTTTGGATGCTGATAAGCAGTTCAGACCAGGTCACAGCAAATGGACCCACTGAAAGGGATAATACCAGCCTTTGTTGCCAACAACTAAAACCATCGCAAAGTCATTCCTCAGGTTGTAGCTGCTCAGCAATTTAACTATGTTTATCTAAGGGTAGAAAATTATTACAGCAGCAAAAATTCTGATGTGTTCTTAGGGCTATTTCACTTATTAATGAATGAGAACAGCAGTGCGTTAATGTTAGGGCAGGGAAGAAAAAGTAAAGGCATGATTCAGTTTCTAACCCTGGGAGTGAGGAGAGTGGAGTTTGGCAAAAAGACTATATACCATGAGCACATAGCACACATCAGGGTTCATCCACACCTTGCTCGTCTCTCTTGGCAGTGGTGCCATTTATCTTCCAAAACGTGACACTGACGACCAAGTTGCAGAGAAGCAGGGTCATACAGCAAGTGAGCCACTGGACTCTTGTGAACGGGCTTCAGGGATGTCGAGTTGCAACTGAGAGCCACAGATGATCTTGTGTGAACTTTTCTACAATCACGGAGGAAAACAGGTGTCTAAGGACAGAAATTAGGAGGGGAGAGACATGAGATTTTCATTGTGAAAGTGCCCTAGACTAAGATGTGGTTTGCACAGAGGCAAGCTACATAGCAACTTCTCGGCCATTATTCACCACCTCTATGAACAAGGGGTGGGCTAGAATAATCTCTAAAGATCTCCACAGCTTTCAAATGACATGATGATTCTGATGGTTAAGGTTGTGTGTCAACTTGGCTGGGCCATGATTCTCAGTGGTCTGGCAGTTATGATGTAGTTTGGCAGTCGTATGATGTTGTGATCACTTCCATGATGAGATGTGATATAATGTGATCACCTCCATGATGGGATATGCCATGAGTAGCCAATCAGTTGAAAGGGAGTTTCCTTGGGCGTGTGACCCGCACTGAATATAAGTGGACATTCTGGCAAGGTTCAGGGGCTTTTGCTCACTCCGGATCCTACACCTGTCTCCTGTTCATCTGACCTCTGGTTCTTGGGACTTGAGCTAGCAGCTTACCTGCCATCCTGCCTACCGTTCTTGGAATTCGTCGATCTTCGCAGCCTTTACGCAAGAGCCCTGCTCTATGACCTGACAATCTTTAAGTTTGTCAGCCCCTGAGGCTACAGCAATCAGAAGAAGCCTCTATTCTGACCCACGGACTTGGGATGTTCCAGCCTCTACAACTGTGTGAGCCATTTCCTTGATATAAATACCTATATATATTTATATGCTTCACTGGTTTTGCTTCTCTAGAGAACCCAGCCTAAGACAATGATATTGTTCTTTTGTAATTTTAGGGTAAAGAGTTTTTGAAAATAAGGATAATTTGTATTATATGGGAGTTTAAAGTTAAAAACTGTTGTTTTAGCCTTATTAGAGTTTTAATAAATACTCTTTAAAAGTTTGCATTAGGCTTCCATTCAAGATAGTTTGGTAAATTTGTACTTTGAGCATCTTCTCTACTCCAAATATAGAATACTAGTAGATAAAATACAGAAAGAAAAAAAACTAAAAAGACTCGACTGGGCTTAAAATAAAAATAAAACATCTCTGAGGACTAGAAATGGAATAAGAAATGAAGGTGGTGAGTGTGGTAGAAGCTGTAGGATCGCTGGGCTCCAGGTCTGGAAGAAGGCAGTACACAAGTGGGAATTTGGCTCTTATAGGGTAACTGGAACCAAAAGTGTTTCATAGGGTGAGAGGAGAGGAGAGACAGAGCCAAGCTTACTGCTTGAAGCTGGGCTGGAGCTAGAGCTTATGAAAGGATAAAAACAAAAAATCCAAAAACTTTCATGGGGCTACAACTTTATAAGCAGGAAGGTAAGAGAAAAAGGACAGCATCATGATCAGGTATTAAACCAAGCCTTCCATTGGCTTGGAGCCCTGGTGGCGCAGTGGTTAAGAGCTTGGCTGCTAGCCAAAAGGTCAGCAGTTCGAATCCACCAGCTGCTCCTTGGAAAAACCCTAGGGGGCAGTTCTACTCTGTCCTACAGGGTTGCTATGAGTTGGAATACACTTGATGGCAACAGGTTTGGTTTGATCTTCCACTGGCTCATGACAAGAGCTATAATTGCCCCAGTTTCATTGAGCAATAAGAGCTCCAAAATACTATTAATAAGGCCTAGTTCTAGACTAGACAGACAAGAGACGTGAAGGGTTAGATAGAAACAGTAGCAAAACTACTAGCCAAGGATGGGTGTGCACAAAGAGAAGTGGGAAATAAACAAACATATTTAACAAGTCTTCCATCAAAATGAAGTTACAAACCAAAATTCCAAAGCACATGAAGAAATTTAATGCAGAAAAAGGCAGCCAACACACAAAAATTCAGTCCAGAAGAAATCAGCTTCATAAAACAGTCTGACAAAGGCTTTAAAATAACTATTTCAGGTTGCTCAAAGATATAAGAAGAAGAATAACTTTACTTAAAAAGGATAAAAATTATGAAGAAAAACAAATAAAAGAGCAAATTAGGAAACCCAAAACTGAAAAATATGGTCTTCAAACAAATAATTAAAAAAAATAAAAAGTATAAGACCACTATTATAAAAACCCAAGAAAAGGTTTAAACACAGATGACAACATTCTTT